TAAAACCCGTGACTGCGTGTGCACATGCGTGTGTGTGTTTCACAGTTTTTTCCTCCAGTGCGAATGTCAACACGGTGGAAGGGCACGTAGGTTTCAGAGTTACTATTATTATGACAGTGGTTTAGACCCACAAGCCCGGTGAAGGGACCTCAGTGCCCTCCCGGGGACGCCCCGAGCCGCTGCTCCACAGGCAGCCTAGGTCCTTCAGACCGCATTTTCAGTTCAGCTCTAACTTCGGTGGGGGGGGGCAACGATATTGAAATCCAGGGTGCCTCTAGGACTGCACGTCGTAAAACAGCCCCTCCTTCTTCCTGCAGCACCCTGGGATGGTTTTCCTTGGCTCCTTTGTCATTCCTAGTTAAGGGTAAACAATCACGGGCACTTCTCAGAGGAGGGTATTAACTGCTTAACAAAGGCTGGAGGGCTGGGGAGGTGTGGAAATGAGGAATGAGAAAAGTGTCAGGTGTCAGATGTTGTGGCCACTTGGACATCAAAGAGAAAGAACTTCTGAAGTCATCAAGTCTGGAAGAAAGGCTGCACCTGCTGCGACGGCCAAGCATCTGTCCCATGGAGAAGAGCACATCTGTTGGCTGGTGGGGGCAGAGGGTGGTGGGGAGAGTTTTGCCAGAGGCTTTCGCTCCTGGGATCCTTCACACTCCCTGGCACAGACTCACTCCTCTGGCTTGAGATGCGTCGATCAAAAGCAGCTTAGGAACTAACTGGAGGCCTGCTCCCTGCCCTTCCACAAACAAGGTCTTACTGAACCCAGGGGCAAGGCGACACCCCACCGTTTGACTCTCAGATCCTTAAAGGTCTTGGAAAGACGCAGGGTGGGGCAAAGAGGTGCTGGGAGAATGCGGGACTGCCTACCCTGCCCCTGGCCTTGTCCTGCCCCGACTTCTCTTGCGGGCCATTTGACCACCTCTGTGAAAGCCTTTAGACTTTGATACAGCAGCTCCACTTCTAAGAACGTGTCCTCAACAGACACGTGTCCACAAGTGTCTAACTCTAGGGATATTTACCAGGTCCTTACAATAGAATTGGAAACAGCCTGAAAACAAGCAACTACAACAAGGGACTGGTCAAATAAACGATGGTACAGCCCCAGGGTGTTTGGAACCGAGGTTCCCACACTGGGGTCTGGGGACCGTCTACCAGAACCTTCACGGGTATCCACATGGTCCAACATTTTCACGGTAATGCTAAAACGTTACTTAGCTTTTTTGCTGTCTTGATCTTTGCACCAATGGTGAGAAAACAAAACTGGGCAAAACTGCTGGTGAACTGACACAGATCAGCACCAGTACCAAATTGCCTTAATAATCATTTTATTCTTTACCGCCACAAACTCGCAGAAAAAAAAAATCCCAACAGTTTCACTTCAGAATGTCTTTGATGAAGCAGTAACAAGTGTTAGCTTTATGGAGTCTTGACCCCTCAGGACACATTTGTCAATATTCTCTGTGAGCACGTGGGAAGCGTGCACAGAGTGCTTCCCTTAGGTGACAGACCAGGACGGCTGCCCGGAGGGAAAGCACTTGCTGTCATCGCATGCCGGGCTAAAGGTTCTGCTTTTCTCACAGAACATCGTTTTTACTCGAACCAACAAGGCAACAGTAACACTTTCATGGGCTCCAGACGCTTTTGCTTTGTGGACCCTTCCCCTCTAACAAGATATAAAAATGACATTTTAGCCCTGGCAAGTGGCTCCGTTGGTTGGAGCATTGTTCTGTGCACCGGCAGATTACGGGTTCGATTCCTGGTCAGGGTACATACCTATTGCGGGTGCGGTCCCCTGTTGGGGTGTGTGTGGGAGGCAGCCAATCAGTGCTTCCCAGTCTCTCTCCCCCCCTCCCCCCTCTCTCTGTCTTCCTCTCTCTTTCTAAAATCAATGAAACATATGCTCAGATGAGAATTTTTAAAAAGTGATTTTAGAAAACGTACATTTTATGACTGCGTTGGTATAAAGACATTATTAATTAAATTAAAATGTATTTTTTTAATCTAAAAGAATTAACCTTCATTTCTCCTTCTGATTTGAAAAGAAGTTAAAATGGCGTTGTGAGCCCACAAAGCCGTGTGGGTCTCGGCACCGCCCCTGGTGGAGAAGCAAAGTGGGCCTGACAGACGTACTATGGTTGCTCAGACTCGGGTGTGTGCAGGGCTGAATTCTCCGTGAAGCACAATTTTAATATAGCATGTTAACATAGTTGTCTTTGTATCAATGCAGGGGGTTTTGTTTGTTCATTTTTCACAGAGGAAGAGGCCCATGAAGGCACAAACACTTAAGGCCCAGGGGTGGCAAGGGTAGGGGTTGGGGATGGGAGGAGGGAGCCTTCTGGACAGTGGTGGACACGGGGCCTCTGCGCTGACCAGCTCCAGGGGTCAACATTCCTGGTGAGTTCTATGAGAACTGCTCACTGAGGAGGGGATGAGGGGGTGGGGATGGCACCAAGATCTGCTCTTGGAGGACAGTGATGACTGAGTGGGGACAATTAGACCCACTCTGAACTGGGGAGTGTGGGGAGTTTGGGGGCTGGGTGCAGAGGAGCCGGGCTCCTGGGAGGGCTGTCTTCAGTCCTGACCCGTGAGAGCTCAGGACCTGGAGGAGCCGGGTGTGAACCCAAGTGCCAGCCTGCCCTCTCTCTCTTACGCATGCCTGTGATCTCAGGCGTATTTCTTGGCTTCCTGAAACTGTAGTGTCTTCATCTGTGAAATGAGGATAGAAATGTCTCAGAAATAGCCTGTGCCTGCTGAGGCCGTTGTGAGGGTGCAATGATGGGATGTAGGTGACCTGGCACTTGGTGAGTGTGCAGTAAAATGGAGAGCAAAGTCGGCCTATTGAACATTCCCTACTTCCGAGTCACCAGGGAAATCAACCGCATCAGAAACCAATGCTGGGGTCGGGGTGAGTGAGTTGCTTCTTAAGTCCCTGGCACTGCAGACTGAAAATCATCCTCTGGTTCTAGCCTTGGCCATCACTGAGGACCCGGAGAAGAAGCCTCAGGTCTGTCCACCACCAGGAAACCAGCAGGCTGCAGGCATCTCCTTCTCTCCCTACAGGCCTAGCCTGGAAACAAGCCTAGAATGTTGCTCTCCCTGGGAAGGAGCCTGGCCCCGGCCTGGCCCACAGTAGGTGCTCAGCGAGTGTCAGCCGAATGAATACATAAAGTCTGGCATCCTCCTGACTTGCTGTGCTCCACAGAAACCTCCCCCTGTGGCTGGCCCCTGCAGAACCAAGGGGCCTGCGCAAGGACCCAGGGAAGGACAGAGCAACAAGGCAGGTGGTCGCTGCACCTTCCCTGACATCCCTCTGCAGCTTCCCAGGGCAGTGTGGTGGCGGGGGTCCTCACATGTCCTTAATGCTTTATTTTGGGATACAAAGAATCATCATTTCTCCAGTTTCATCTCCTACAACTCCCCTTTACTCATCCCACTCCAAAAAAATATTACTGACATGTAACAAAGAAGTTTAAGGTGTACAGCATGTTGAGTTGGTACATTTATATATATTGCAATACGATGATCATGTTAGCTTTAGTTAACACCGGTACCATATCACAGAGTTATCATTCGTGTGTGTTTGTGTGTGGTAGGAACACACTCACTATTTATGGAGAATTCAGAGACACGTCTGTCTCAGGATCTTTGCACTTGCTGTTGCTTCTCTTCCCCCAGATATCCACATGGCTTGCTCCCTCGGTGCCTTCAAGTCTTTGTTTAAATGTCACCTTCTCAGGGAGGTCTTCTCTAACATTTGAAACTCCACCCCACTTCACACTCCCTGCCCTCCTTCCCTGCCTTATTTCCCTCCACAGCATGAATACCATCTACCACATCATTTCTTCTGTCGATTGTGTTTCTTTCCCTCCTAGACTGCAGCCTCCAAGAGGGCAGGGCATTTTTGTCTGTTCTGTTCACTGCTTTTATCTTAATTACTCAAATTGGTGCATGGCACAAAATACTACCTCAGTACTTAATTGACACGAAGGAATGCATGAGAGGTGCGCATTGTACACTGCTTTGCAAAGACCAGGGTAAAACACGACGCTGAAGGAAGGAGGTGAGCACCGCTGCTCCAGGAGGAAGCCAGAGGGCTGGGAGGGGCAGCGGCACCTTAAACCGCACTTCGACTCTGAGAGGCGTGCATTGTCATCTAAATTTGGTCCACAGCTAGGTGCTCAGGTGGCTTCCTCCTCCCCACTGCGGCAGGTGGAGAGGAGGGGAGTGGAGGGAGGGCCCTATTTAAGTACCCCCGCGATGGGGCACTAACACCTTGGGGAGAGAAACCCAGTTTAGGGATTCACAGGAGGGCTGTACAGAGGCCCCTCCTCTTTCTGCTTGTCTGCAGTTTTAAAACACGTGTTTGGTGATAACCTCTTTTTACATTAATGAATCCCAACTGGTTCAATGTGAACGTTCGCTCAATCGAAGTAGCTAGCGGCTTCCGTGCGCAAAGCGGGTCCAGACTTCTGGGGTCGCGATGAAGAACCAACCCCAGGGCAGCCGGATGTGCAGCAGTTGGTCGCAGGACAGATAAGGTTTGCTGGGGGCTTTTCCCTAAAGACAGCGGGGGATGTGGGCAGAGGTGGCTCTGAGGTGCGCGGGAGGGGTTGGGGTTGCATTGGTTGGGGAGGCGGAACGTGGTAACAGTCACCGTGCCTCCCTCCCCGGGTCAGTAAAAGGCTCAGTAAGTGCCACTCGAGGCACACAGGCCGGGATGCGCGACGGAGGAGCAGCGCGGCCTGGGCACCTCTGCTCGGCGGGCCTTGCGTCCGGCGCCCTGGCGGGGTGCCCGAGAGCCGAGGGCCGGACGCAGGGCCCCGGGACGGCCTCGGCCAGACCGACCAACGTCCCGGGGGCAGGGCGAGGAGAGCGCCCCGCGCGGCGGCCGGGGCCGGGGTCGAGGCCCGGGCGGCGTGGGCGGGGTGGCCGGACGCGCAGGGACGCGCTGGGACGTGACGAGCGGCGCGCTGTGCATTGTGGGAATCCCGGGCCGCGGCGACTGGTTCCAGTTCACTCGGCGGAGGAGCCGGCGGAGGGGCGAGCGCGGGGCGCGCGGGCGGGAAGCGAGCAGGCGGGCGGGCGGGCCAGCGCGGAGCGCGAAGAGAAAGGCGCGAGCGGCCCAGAGGGCACCGGCCCGACACCTTGCTGCCGCCGCCGCCGCCGAGCCGCCCGTAAGTGCCGCGCGGGCCCCTCTCCGCGCGTCCCGTCCCGGCCGCCGGGGTCCGGCCGCCGCGCTGTTCCGGCCGCTGGTGCCCGCGAGCGGCCCGGCCGGGTGCGCCCGGGGTGCGCTGGCCGGGCTCCGGCCCTGGGCTCGGCGCGGCGCACGCCGGGGCCTCGCGCTCCCCGCTCCTCCCCGGGCCGGGCCGGGGCCGCGTGGGATTCCCTTTGGTTTTGTTCCGAGAGCAAACCCGGAAGCCAACTTCTCGTTAACGCAGCCTCCCGCCTGCGCCCGGGAGCTTTCGTGGGAGGGAGACAGTTGGGACCCCTTTCGCGGCCGCCCTTCCCTCGGCGATCGGAGGCCCCGCGGCAAGGCTGCTGGGCCTGGGCGCCCGGGAGCGGCTGTGCGCGGGGTTGGACTCGGCGAGGCCCCACCCGCCAGCGAGTTGCCAGCCTGGGCACAATAAGTCAGGCCCGAGATCCCGGGGCCGCTCAGTCTGTGGGCGCCTGGCTCAGTCTGCTGGGAGCGCAGGGTGGGGGTGGTAGGGGGACACTCGCGGGACTGGAGCCAGACCAGGCGGGGAAGGGGTTGTCCAGAGGCGGGCGGGGGAGAGGCCAGGGGACCCCCGCTGCTCTCGCTGGGCTCCTGATGGGCCTTTTGTTTGCTTCTTGGTTGGGAGTTTCTTAAAGGTGACTCGGGAAGGCTGCAGGCTCCCTGGGTGGAGAAGGCCTGGAGGAAAAGAGACTCGCTGGGGGTGGGGGTGGGGGTGGGGGGTGGAGTGGCGAGGTGAGTGAGCAGGACGCTGCTGAAAGGGTCACCTGACAACAGGTGTGTGGATGGGGCACCCCACCCTCACTCCTGCAGGGACCACGGATCACTCACTGATCTTATTAGTATATTGCTTGGAAGGTTGTTTTAGATAAGCTGTTAAGGAAAATATTCCTGAGTTTGAAAGTGAGAGGCTTCTGTAGGAACAGCTGAGACAAAACTGAGTTCAATAATTACAATGATCATGAAGTCCGTGTAAGACTTTAATGATTTCATAAACAGCCTATAAGAATAGGCAGTTAGAGGGGCACTCCTGCTAGCTTCTCTTTTCCTTCCACCTTTGTGGTTTGAGGTTTTACCGTTAGGGGGTGGGAGTCGTGCTTTGTTCCAAGCCTCCCTGCTCCAGGGCCCAGGGGGAGTTTCGAACAGCTTTGGATTTGATTCGGAGGTTCCAGTTGTAAATTTGGTGGAGTCCACCCACTGCCAGCCACCTTTGGGGCACTCTGTGCTGTCAGAGGAGTTATTAGCTCTGAAAGGGACACCTCATGCCTGCAAATGGAATTAATGCCCCTTGTACACCACCCACCAAAGTTGGGCGGTGGCATCTCAGTCTTGCACAAGAGGCTGTCTGATATGGATACGTTTGTTAAGCCTTTTTTTTTTTTCTTTAAAAAACCCCCTCAAGACTTTAAATTTTTCCTCAGAAATGTTTTAGGAGGAGCGTGGGTAATCTCTCAGTCTGTTATATTTTACTCTGTTCCCGTAGTAATGGGGATAAAGGTATCAAGGAAGGGGAGGAGTTTAAGTGAAGATTGCTGGAGGCAGGGCCTTGAGAATGGGGAAGGGATAGCCCAGGTTTTGCTAAAGGTCAAGAGTTGCCTAGAACATCACTAGCACAACTGTACGTCACTGGCTCAGTCTGTAGGGAATGGGCCAGGCACGTGCATCTCTGGTCCTGGAGATGCAGGACTCAGGGAGAGCCCTCACTTCTTCCCCGGAGAGAGAGGCTTGGAATTTTGGAATACATCTATTCTGACACCTGCCTCTACTACTTGTAGAGCTAATGCTGCCCAAGTCATTTACAGAATGAACACACTGAACACCCTAAGCTGACAAAACCTGGGAATCTGTGGCATTTGTCACAGTTGTAGCAGTCCAAGGTTCTTGGATTGTGCCTTTGGATTTGCGTTGGGTTTTTCAGAGTTCTGTTCTTGGCACATGGGCTGGGAAGGGGAAGGGGTAAGTGGGGCGTGTACTGGTCCTGTGGGTTCTCCCCACTTTCTGCAGCTTTAGAAGTATATTAGGCCCCACCTCAGCTCTTCTGAGTGAGTCCAAGAGGGTCAGCTCTTCATACCAGACTTGTATGGGTTGCTGGCTTGGATCGAGCCTGCCAAGACCAGTGTCTTCCAATAAGTACTTGTTGAGAATTAACTCTGGGTCAGGCACTGGGGACAGTACCATGATCAAGAAATGCCCAGTCCTTTTCCTCAGGAAGCTGACATACTGAAAAGACAGGCAAGTGGTCATTGAGAGGCCAGTGCAGGAGGCCGCAGTTGCTCCCCCAGTGGGCCCAGGATGGCAACCTAACCAGGAGCAAGCCCTTACCAGGCACAGAAGGGCCAAGCAGGAACTGGCTGGGCAAAGCAGGGCAGGCCAGGATAAGTGTTTGAAGCCTGAGGAACCACATGTGCAGAGTCCTCGAACAGTGAGAAAAGAGGTCATGTGGGGGAGCTGCCAGAGGCTCTGGGTGGCTGGGTCCAAGGGGAGAATCAGGCGACGAGAGGGGGCCAGGAGGGCCAGATCAGAGAGGATCCTGGTCAGAGACGCTGAGGGGTTTGGACTTCATCCTGACAGCAGAGAGGCTCGGCCAGTTCTTTGTTCTCACCGGGAGCACTTCCCCTGTTCCACCAACAGTGAATGGCTTCTAGATGCCAAGTCTGGCCAGGGTCCTGCCCTACTGAAAGTCACAGTTTAACGTGATCTTTGATGGTCTTCCATTGGAGTGGTCATCTTAGTTTGGCCCAGCCTTTGAAAGGGACAGCGGGTGTGAAGGAAAGTTTCCTGGTGAGGTTAGCTGACGGTGCCTTCCTCCTGAGATACAGGGTGGGGCAAAAGTAGGTTTGCAGTGGTGAGTATGCAAGACAGTTTATTCTTGTGTTATTATTTATTTTTTATTTTTGTGTTATTATATTATTTTATTTTTATTTATTATTTACTTTCCACACAACTATAGACCCACTTTGCCCCACCCTGCGTAGTGGTGGCTCCTTTGGTGCAGCTGGGGAAGCTAACCACAGGGGGCGTTTGCAGAGGTGAGATCTTGATCCCAGACTAGCGTCTTGCAAGCTGTTTCCTGCTTGTGGTGAATAGCACTGGTATTTGGGTTTTGTTTTTTCCCGCCACTAAAAATCTAACACGTGAGGGAGATACATCTGCTAGAACAAAGTGTGTGGTTTAGAATTTATTTACTATCTCAATTTATCCTTCACTCCCTGTTTTCAGTCCCTCGGTTCCCCCAGGGCAGACTGTAACTTCTTTAATCATCCAGCTCACTGTATGATGTAGTGTTTTATGAATGGAGAGAGATTTTTTTCTGATTGGCTAGAGTACCAGAGCAGTTCTCTGTTCTGAACCAATCAGAGTGTAGCTTGAGAACCCCTGCTCTGTGAGTGATAGTTGTGTAGTTTATCCACATGCCTCTGGGGACATGACAGCAGAGACACCGTTAATCATTTGGTGTGATGGGAGTAAACGGAAGAGAATGCTGTAAATAGAATTAATGCCCTTCACTTAAGAATTAAGTGTCTCAGGTTGGCCTTTGTGATTGGAGTTGATGGGAAGGTGACAAATGCCTGTGGACATGTGGGCATTTATCCAGCTACAGGAAAAGGGTGGGGGGAATCCTCCCTCAGCCACCATGACTCGAGCCCCGAGAGCTCCACTGCCTTCCTCCTCGGGTGCTGGGAATAGGGATGTCTGTCCAGCAGCCCCCAGCAGTTCTCGTCGATGCTTGTTCTGGATCAATATGCAGGCATTCATTGCTTAGGTAATAAAAGACTTCACGATTGACCATTCCAGTGGGTTTGTGAGTGCCCTGTTTATTTAAGAGGTGTTTTTTTGTGTGTGTATGCTGCACCTTAGCAGAGACTTGTCTCTTACAGGTGTGAGGGAGGTAAGTATTTTCCTCTGCTCTGTGTTACTGAGCCTGTCTAGTGGCAAGGGGAGAGGTCACTGGAGCCATAGAGTTGTCAGGGGGCCGGAAAGCCTCTGCCAGGCTCACACCTCAGGGAGCAGAACAATTGCAACATTCCCTTTTGGGAATCCCCAAACTGGCTCCCCGAGGTCCCTGAATTTTGAGGGTCTGGGCTGCCACAGGGATTAGCCAGGTACATGTACCTGACTGGTCCCAGACAAGGTCTCCAGCTGCTGTCCCACTTCCACATCTCAGAGTCCCGTGGCCTTTGGAAATGCTCCCCTCATCTTTGTTAAGAGTAGCCTACCCACAGTAAATGTCAACTAATCAGTCTCCGTCCTGCCTGCATTTGAGAGCCTCCCAGGTCATAGACAGAATGTGGTGGTGAGCAGAGCGGACTGGACCATCTCCTCAAGACTGACAAGGAATATGAGACTCAAGCCAAAAAAATAGTTACACCCATGGGGTATTTCAACAACAGCAACAAAACAACAAAGACGAGGAAATAGACAGCGATGATACAGGGTAACAAGTGTTAAGAGTGGAGTAGTTGGTGTTAGAATGTTTCTATAAATTGGGTCTAGAGGGGCAATTAGGTTGGAAGGAAGGCCTGAAATCTGCACTTGCAGAGCACTTTACAATAAAAAGATGGAGGAAAGCAGTTGGACACTTTAGAGAATGGTGGTAGGCCTAGGGAACATCATAAGGGATTTTTAGCCGGACTCAGGGGCCACAGTAGGAATGTCCAATGAGGAAACGGAGCAGTTCAGCCTGGTGGATTGCTGGGTGCAGGGCATGGAGCCCTGGTTGCTAGAAATAGGGAGAGAGGGGCTGGAGGGCCTCAGAGCCTTGGTGCAAGGCTGCAGCTGGGCGTGGGCTGCCCCAAACTCGACCGTGACTAGGGGCCACACAGCAGGAATGCAGTGGAAAGAGCTCCTTCTTAGGTCTGCGTCGGCAGAGGTGCTGGGACCACTAGGTAGAATTGTTCCAGGCTGGAGGCTGGTGAGGGTATTCCATATTGAACTATAGTGTGTGCCAAAGACTGGAGGTAG